CCCCCCCCCCCCCCCAATAACATGATCCAAAAAATCCACAGTGTAATCCAGCTGGATTTAACCAAGCCAATGTCCATATGTTCTAAGTGGAATAAGTAAAACATTACTCAAAACTCTCCCATCTTACTAAATGGGCATGAAGAGTACTGGACATGGCTGGAGTAGCCATGCCCAATCTTTGTAGAATATCAAATGGATGAATAGGAATGACTACAGAAATCACATACAGTGAATTGAGAGCCTAGGATGCACAAACGATTGATTGGGTTTGTATATTTTCTTAAGCCATTTCTTAAATCCCTGCCAAAGGATTTCTTGTAATATAGCTGTTCCCAAGGTCTTCAGGGAGGCAAAGCATTATAATAAGCATGTAGGATCAGCCATGTTTTCAACCTTTTATACTGATATTATTTCATCCTTGGGAGCAAAAATCCCTCCAGCAAATACAACCTCCAGTATGAGGCTGGGAGCAATCATCTCTTGCACCAACTGCTTGTAAGATAGAAAAATTCCAGAGGAGACATCCAAAACAATTCCCAAGATCAGTCACCTCAAAAGATGAAAGCTACCTAGAACATTATATCAAAAAGACAGTGGTGCATGCAAACAAACTACATAGCAATTTATTTCCAGATGGAGGCTGAAGATAGACTTTTGCTGAGAAATCTTAACCATCTCTTATTAGTTTTACTAAATCAACAGAATGAGAGCGCATCAGTGTCAGATCACAGTGAGAAAGCCAGCTGTAATTGCAGAATCCATAGCATTATGGTTTGGTTAAGGCAGAATTTCATGGGGTAGATGTTAAACTGCATCTGAGGTTTTCTACAGTGATGTGCTTTTGATGATGTTTTATGTGGCTTTGCCCACATCTTCATTAGTACTTGCAGTAATTCACTGAATATTCAGATGAGAAAATCTATTCCTGGTTCATGCCGTTTTTTAAAGATCTGGTGATAAGAGGGCATCTGGATAAATAGTCAACCCTGCATATGTCTGGTTCTACAAAAGCATAAAGCCATAGAAGACATTCATGTGTGTTGACTTCCAAAACTGCTTATGTTTTGCAATACTGAAAATGGACTGCTGTAACTGATAAACAAACAGGATCTGCACCTTTCCGCAGAAATGTGGGTCAAGAACCAGCCAGATCCAAAGCCGTTGAGATAGGAAGTTTTGTTTTTGGCATCAACTGAGCATTCATGTGCTTGGTAAGAACACCGACCTTGCTTGAGGGAGTTTCTTGGCAATTAACCACCAGGAAACCCAATGTGGGCAGTGCCTACATTCAAACATCCCTGTAGCTCTGAGCTGTTGTTTGGGGTATGAATGCTCCATGATATCGTCACCAAATTGCGCATTTTATACTGAATGTGGAGTCAATCATTTTGAAACCCTATCTTTGTACTTTGAAAGGCAATCAAAGAAAGGACAAGCTCCTAAATCTTAAGGCTGTACAGATAAAGGAAACGCCTGAGGCAATTTTGGAAACTGGAAAGCAATGGATTCCTTGGGGCTTCAGTTATTTCCATTTGCTCTGTCGCTTGAAGAAACCAAATACATGGGCTGACTAGGTGGGTGTCTCTTTTTTAAATGCAGTGTATTTTAAAGCAGGAAATATGTACACTTGGCCATAGATTTAATCGTCATTGTATGATCCACTGATCATAGTAGATATCACCTTGAACCAACTCCAGAAATAAAGCACGTTCCCAACTTGATCAGAAGACTAACTGCTATAGCTTCTTTCTGTTTTTCTCTAACATAGAGGTGTACAGCCTGAAGCTACATGCTGCCCCCGGACCTCCAAAACCTGTGATTGAACTGCAATTTTTATTGTGATAGAAGGGGGATATTACTAAAAAACATAACTGGAGAGCAGTTAGATTAACTATATTTCATTTTAACTAAATACAGATGTAAATTAAACCAAATGTACTTTTTGTCCAGGCCTTACCCATTACTTTTTGGAGTGAAGCCCCTGGCATGTCATCAAAGGACCCAGTGGCTTTGGCATTAAAAAAGCTGTGATTGTCTGTGGTGTAAGAATCTGAGGCTAAGGTCTCAGATGTGGTGTCCATCACTTGGAGAGGTTCCACCACAAGCTTTGGCAGAAAGAAGTTCGGCCGACAATCATGGACCTGGCTATTTTGGAGGATTATTTAACCGTGTCTGAAAGAAGCATAACAGGAGAGTTGGTTTTGGCCAGAGATGGAGGCAATGGGTAAACAGGACTGTCTGGGAAAACCCCTCCCATACAACATCATGCAAT